GCGGGGACAGTGAAGAGGGCAGCTACAGTAAAGACGCCAGCTACAGTGAAGACGGCAGCGACAGTGAAGATGGCAGCTACAGTGAAGACGGCAGCGACAGTGAACACGGCAGCTACAGTGAAGATGGCAGCTACAGTGAATTTGTCGACGCAATTGAAAGTGCCGACGACAATGAAAGTGCCGATGAGATTGAAAATGCCAACAATGCAAATCATGCAAACGACTTCAACAATGAAAGCAATGGCAACATCTACAACAACGTACATGACAATGTTGACAATGATGGTGCTGATGCTGTGGTTGAGGTCAGACCAGGGGTCAACCAGGATGCAGAAGACAACCCCCTAGCTGGTCCATCCAGGAACAGGTCAAAAAAGGACAGCGACACTGATAGTGACACTGACACTAACAGTACTGAGGAGAACACTGGAAATATTCCGGTTGAACATGCAGCCACTACCGCTGAGCCTGAAGATGACTGCATGCCCGGTCCATCCAGGAAGAGGTCAAGAGACCTCAGTCAAGTAGAAGTTGAGAGAAGCTACAAAAAGACAAGACAGTGTTATGAGCTTGCTGAACCTGAAGATGACTGCATGCCCGGTCCATCCAGGAAGAGGTCAAGAGACCTCAGTCAAGTAGAAGTTGAGAGAAGCTACAAAAAGACAAGACAGTGTTATGAGCTTGCTGAACCTGAAGATGACTGCATGCCCGGTCCATCCAGGAAGAGGTCAAGAGAACTTGATCAAGTGGAAGATGAGAGAAGCAACAAAATGTCAAGACAGCGTTATGAGCTTGCTGATGATAGCTCTGAAGCGCTCACAGTCAGAACTGGCACAGATCTTGCTCACAGTAGCAGCAGTACTGAGCTGGCTGAAAGTGCAGGTGCTGCAAAGGAGACAGATGAAGCTGTCAACCAGCAGGAGGAGGAGGAGGAGGCAATCCCTCAGCCAAAAAAGAAAGCATCTAGGAAGAGGTCAAAGGGAAACAGTGAAGAGACAGTCAGGAGACGCAGCAAAAGATTCAGAGATTAAGATGAGACACTAGCAATGAAGACAGACGTCAGAGCAGGCTGACGTCTAAGTTCAAATCTGCCCAAATTTCTAAATTCAAGACCACCCAAATTTCTAGAGATAGACTGGTGACCTGTCCAGAGTGTACCCCGCCTCTAACCCAGTGACAGCTGGGATTAGCTCCTGAATAGTAATAGGCGGTATAGATGATGGATGGATGGAAAAAATGAAAGGGCAGCACAGCGGCGCAGTGGTTAGCACTGTTGCCTCACAACAAGAAGGTTCCAGGTTTGTGCCCCAGCTGACCTGGTGCCTTTCTGTGCGGAGTTTGTATGTTCTCCCTGTGCCTGCGTGGGTTTTCCCCGGGTGCTCCGGTTTCCTCCCACATTCCAAAGACATGCAGGTTAGGCTGATTGGCGACTCTAAATTAGACACTTGGGTGGCAACTGATGATTCGCTGTGGCGACCCCTAACGGGAGCAGCCAAAAGGAGAAAAATAAGAAGGATGGATGAATTGAAGTAATACCTGACATTCTAACAAATAATTGGATAATGTATACATAGATCATTATCATAAACAATAATCTCTGAAACTGTTACATGGAATATATTTTAAAACCCCATGAACCATGTGTATGTAGACTGTTAGTACATCAAGTCACGCATCATGGCTGTAACTCTAAATATCTTATATCTACTGCTACCAGTCAGTTAGTTTAGCTTAGCATAAAAATTGGAAACAGGGAAACAGCAAGCCTGGCTCTGTCAAACACTAACCAAATGTGCCCTCTAAAGTTCACTAATTAACATATTATCTCATTTGGTTCTGTTACAAAAAACAAAGCTAAGCTAAGTGCCTGCTAACAGTAGCGTCATATTAACATACAGACATTAAACTGGTATCAATGTGCTTATCTCACACTTGACAAGAATGTGAATAAATTGTATATGTCAAAATATCAAAATTATTTTTAGTTTTAGAACAGTTACTAGATAGTGCTCGTTTATTTGCGCATACTGTATTTATTTATTTAATGATTTTTTTAGTTTTTTTTTTTTTTTTATAACTGTTTCTTAACAACTTGAGTTGTGCTTGTGGTTATAAAAATCAGGTTTAAAAAGAGTCTAATGGGCCTGGACCCAGTGCCAGCTACTACCTTCACAGCTTAGATAGGAACCAGGAGTAGAACTAAGGCACACAAGAAATTTGACCTAACTAACTAGAGCTTAGATGCCTTAAACCAGAGGGACTCGTATGCAGATGTCATGAAGAATCACACTCACTGAGGTGGCCTCATTTGTGTGGTATAGTTTACCTGCGTTTGCAGGTTGACATAAAACTGGATGAAGGAAATCCAGGGTGTAAATTATAGTGGCTCACTGATGCACAAGTTGCTTTAAGATCATAAAAGAGAAAACATAAAAGACATTCATGAAAATCTGCTCAACCCAGAATCTCTGATTTCATGCATAGTGCAAGTTGTACCCACTGTGCAGAAAACAGCATCTGCTTTACAGTCCCATGGGATCCAGATGTGATCGTTACATGTATAACACAGAAAAGTGAACTATCAGATCTGCAATTCCCGCAGCAGGGTGGCAATATGAGTATGAAGGCCATCGCTCCACCAGAGGACTCGGCTCCAAGCTGCACTGTCAGCAATCATCCATCCTGCTAACATGCCCTTGAGCAAGAAACGGCTGCTCTGACCTGAAGGTGGAGGGAGGAAATTGAAAAGAGAATTCTCCAGCAGAGATCAATAAAAATCAATAAAGCACTACATCACCATTTGCTCCTAAATCGAACAACACTGACTATTAGATCAATCCAATCAACTCCTCAGCTGAAACAGAACGAGCAGAGGAGAGGCAGAAGCTGCAGAGAGCAAATGGGTGCGCTGCAACTTTGACCTCACCAGTGGTCAGTGCTTCAGCCGTCGCCAGATGCAGGACGGTGTCATCGCTCACTGGCCAGTCAGGAAGCTCAGCCTTAATGTTCTTCAGACCACCGACTTCTTTCAGCTCCTGCCAGGACAGAAAAGACGAGAAAATACATCAGCAGCTCAGTAATGATTCAGTAAAAATAACAGGGTGTCTACAGAGTTTAACAAATTAAATTTAAGACTTTTTAAAACCTTTTTAAGACCAACTTATATGAAATTTAAGACCAAGCTGCCAATGAAAAAATAAATAAATAAATTAATTATGACACTGAGTTTCAAGTGTTAATCAGCGACCTTATAAATGTTGAAGCAGATTTTGACATATATAACACTATACACAACAGAATAGATTTAGAGACTCACTGATGTTGACCACATATTGCACACATTTATTTCACTTCATGAATAAAAATAAAACAAACTACATAAAATGTGCAATGAAGAGAACAGTTCCAGCACACTGGCTGGCATTCGCTGCTACAAACTGGCATCTGCTATATGAACTATGAACTGGGGAACTGCTATTATTTGATTTTAACATAAACCTGTGCTATAGGCCTAATATGAACTCATGAGCAAAAGAATTTTATGGCAAGTGTCTTAATTGCATGGCCTTTTCTTCAATAGTTTTGTCCATTTTATCCAGTTCCTCTTTTTTCTCTTTGTATCTCCTTCTGAGTGTGTTGGATTTAGTGATAAGCTGGGCCATTTTTGACCCAGCCTTCCCCTCTGCCTCCTCGGCCAACTTGTTGGCATCATTTTCAAGGATGGCACAGACATCGTCCAGGACTCTGCGTTGCTGTCTGAGCTCCACTAGTTCTTCCTCTGCGGCCTTCCTCTTCAGTGTCTGAGCAGCACTCTCCCTCTTTTTGCATTCTTGCTCAAGATATAGCCTGTACTGGGACCTTGCTGAGGCCACAGAGGCCAGCAGGTCCTTGGTTAAAGGCACCTTGAGGACACCACCACAGCTACTGACATTGTCACATATTAACCTCAGTGCTTCCAAGGATTCACCTAGAAGGTTACATGTTTCCACCTCCTTGTTTATGGAGAAACCTCTCTCCACGCTGGCTTGTCCATGTGACAGCAGTAAAAGGCTCTGGCAGAACCTTAACAGGTCAGTGTAGGATGTGCTGAGCGTTGAGTGTAGAAATACATCCACACGCTGCTTCAAAGGCTGAAAAGAGCGGAAGCGTTCATCTCTGGCCTCAAGAGACAGAAATGACGTGAACTGCTGAATGATCACATCACCTACGACATTGACACAGAAATTAAAGGTAATTAATAGGTCATTTAAATTCAGTAGTCACCCATTTGACAATACATATATCACAACATCATAGAGCTAGGAATTTGTTCTCCTCTCACTGTTGAGGAGAATGCAGAAAACCATCTTGCTAGTGAGACTTCTGACACACGACTTTAATCAATCTGAATAACCTATGCACTTTTAACTGTCCCTGTACAATAATTTCTTACCAGCTGGGATGCCACCTGCCAGCTGCTTGCCCTGGAGGAATGTTTGCACTATGCTCTTCATCTGTCTGATGCACCAATCAGGATTTCTGTGCATCTTTGTAGGATCCAAACAGGCAACCTGCCTGGCCACTGGGAATTTCAGGGGGCTTTTCTCTTGTAGCTTCATAACCACCTTAACCAGGCCCTGCAAACATTCTTGCCTGAAGGTGAGCACAGAAAGCTCACCAACCTTGCATCCTGGTTTGCTTTGAAGGTCCTAACAAATGAGGAACATTAATGAATGTTCACTGCAAATGCTTTGGAAAATAATCTGTTTTACTTTTTTTATCCCTATTTCTTTTTCTTCTTATCATTATTATTACTATTAGTAGTAGCAGCCTAAGCATAGTAGTATCAGTAAACCGCAACCGAAATAACCTTGGAAATCAACTGGACTTGGATTTCTAGATCGAAGACGTTTCACCTCTCATCCAAGAGGCTTCATCAGTTCTGACTG